GAAGGCAAGTGTCCCTATCGAAAATGTAAAAGTTGCCTAGTTTACTAGTGGTCTCGATAAGTACCTCCAAGGGTTTGTTGTTTCTTCGTATTTGTTTTAATCCAACAGTGTCTGCAAGTAAGAATAATACTTGTAACAGATTGTAGTTTGTGTAACTTTGTATAGTATAATTCATACACCAATAAACTAGTATACACCAGTTCAAGTGCATTCCCGATCATCGTATCATTGGAGATTATGTATGTGTCGTGTACCATTGTTAGATATTATAAAACTTGATCATTTCGAATCTCTCATTCATTATCCTGTAATATTGCAAATGTATTGTGCCGAAGAAGACTCATAGATGATTATTCTGACAAACTATAATATCGGTATTTTACACGAAGATGTTTGATTTTAGATAATCGCGCATTTGGAAAAGCTTGACTCTCCGTATGCTTTCTATATAAGATAGCATTCCTTTTGGTTATGGGTCTTGAATGGAACGTGTTTTATCTACGTAACGTCATTATTAGTTGGTTTTGTCACGATGTCGGTATCATCTGGACTTGTATACCCTGTTTTTTATTTAAATACGCGTTGCAAACGTAGGTTTAAAAAAAAAGCATTTATAGTGTATCAAACACCTGGGGCATTTTCCATGAGCCACTTTTAAGTTCACTCTGAATAATAGTTACAAGATAAATCACGAACTGGTAATCCTTTGGGTAGATAAAACACTTGTAGTTTGTGTCACCGATTAACTCCTTATATATATTTGAAATTTAAAGGAAATGACCGACTTTTGTTTATCTCTTTATTCTGTAAAATAACTTATAGTAGAAAAAACACGCTTTGATTTTTTCGTATCTATCATTGCCTAGCTCCTCAGGAAGCTGTTGACGCTAGGACGTACTCTCGGTAACAGTAGCATAATTTCTTTGAATATATATACATATATATATATATATATGTGTGTGTGTGTGTGTGTGTGTGTCTAAGGAAGTACTAATTAACTCTTGTATCGCATTCGATATGTTCTCTATTTATGCTTGTAAACTCTGACCCAGGGTGCGTTTTTACTTTTATCGTAAATCAGTTTCTTAGAATTGTTGTTTGTTATTAAGCACAAAGCTACACAAAGGGCTATCTGTGTTCTGTCCACCACGGGTATCGAAACCCGGTTTCTAGCAGTATAATTCTGCAGACATACCACTGTGCCACTGGGGGCCCTTGGAATTGAATATGATTTGACAATTCTTGCTAGATTCTATTTGATTTTTTTATTCCATTAAATATTTCATGTGGTTCAAAACAAATTCCTAGTAATTACAGGCAATCTTAAGGACGTCTTTGTGTTATATATAATACTAAACAATAAGCATTCAGAAAAACAAAACAACAACAAAAACTACGGGTTTGTAATGAAATATCAGTTGAATTATGTTTCCAGTTATTCTATCAAGTCTGTGTTATCGTTAATTTCATGATGTAAGACGGTGGTTTTTATATACTGTAGTATTAATTAAGGTCGTTTGAAATTATGATTTACACTAAAATACATACTTCGTGAAGCATGTTATGTAGTCTTTTAGTTGAAAACGCCATTTTAATCCCGGAAATTAGAAGTATTGTTTGTTTGTTTCTGAATTTCGTACAAAACTACCCAAGGGCTATCTGCGCTAGTTTGTTTGTTTTGAATTTCACGCAAAGCTACACGAGGGCTATTTGCATTAGCCGTCCCTAATTTATTAGTGAAAGACTAGAGGGAATGCAACTAGGCCAAAACTGCATAAAGGGCTATCTGTGCTCTGCCCGCCACGGGTGTCGAAACCCGATTTTTTATCGTCGTAAGCCTGGAAATTAAAAGGAACAAAGAAATCTAAGACCACATCTCGGTTATCTCATGCACGATATGTCAAAATTAATGCTCGACATAGTGATGTGCAAATGATTTTTAATTGTAACTTTAAATGTTGTATAAAAACGATAACACTGTTCCAGTCTTCGTACTGAGAATCTTGATTAACAGAATCGGCTTGTCAAGTAAAAGCTATATATATTACGTCAAAAGCGGGTTTGATGTATGTGTCGTTAGTCAGTTTTTTCCTGTATTACCTGCCAGTCGAGATATAATGTGTGACCTTGTTAAGCCGCCCAGTCAAGGAAAGGGAACAGTTAGTCGAAAATGGTAAACATTGTGGTGTGTTAACGTACTGTAGATTCTAAAGTCTGAGCAAGAGATTACGCGATTTTAGCTTAGTAATACGTTGATATATGCACACACACACATACACAGAGTTATGTTTGAGCCTGTTACTTGTGGACTAGGCTTATTCAATTAAATTATAATAATGTATGAGCAAAAGCTTAATAAAATATATTGAAACCTGTGTACAGGCCTGTTGATAAAAACAAACAAACAAATGTTTTGTACACAATGGTTAGTTCAAATTAGACTCAAGAAGAGAATAAAGATGAAATAGAAATGCTGTAAGGCAGCGTTTCCCATAGTATGTGGCTCCCCCCCCCCTTATCCCAGTGGGTGTAAGTGGTCTTTTGGGAGGGTGGCGATAAGGGTAATCAATAATGCAATAATGTAAAGTGAAGCGTTTTAATATATGAACAAAAGTATAAGTAATTACTACCACACATATAGCACTTAATGTGTATCTGTGTATTACATCTCTTCACTAAACTAATTCTTCCACTCATTAAGAAAAATGAGGCGCAAGAAAACATATTTATTAAAGGGGGTCGTGGATGACAAAAGTTTGGATACCACTACTGTAAGCTAGGAGTATTGTCATGTTGAAATGTGCAGTATTAATAATTGCTGATAATATAAAATAGGTAAGTTATTTGTTAATGAAGCCATTTCTATAAAACACATTACAACGAGTAGATAATGTTAAATAAGGAAACTAAAAAGCAATATTGATTATAATGTATTTAATTATCAATTTTGTATCTTCGCTGTAATTGGTATTTTCGAATATGGCAAATTTCTAAAGCCAGCCCTACATTCCATTAATATCTAATTCGTGCAACAACATTAACGACTAGGGTGCTCAATTATATTTTATTTGAAGTTAGTAAGAGTATTCAAGAATACCATATTATAATAAACATAAACCCAGTTCCATCTGATCTTCCTAGATGTAAAGCTATATATAACGTTAGCCTTTAAAAAAAAGTTGTTGTTTTTTGAATTTAGTGCTCCAGCCATCGCGAGGGATTGAACCCCGAATTTTAGTGGGTAAGTCCGTAAAGTTACTGCTAACTCACTGAAGGACAATGGATGTATATATGTGATGATTTCGGTTCTTTATTCTAGTTGATTGACCTCTGGATTGTTACGTGACGATTTAATCCATACTTCAGTAGCTCACACGCACTATAAATAATCAGTGAACCAAAAAAACATGATTTATTTTTCCGGAAAGAAGACGTGTATCGTGCTTGCATTACGATTGTGTGATACATATTATGCATGCAATAGTCTAGTCATACTTTGTAAAATATACTAATGACTTTCTGCTCCTTTATCATCTATTACTTGTAGTATTTTTTTCTCTACGAAAGCTGCTGAGAAAACTCCGAAAGACCACCAATCCGTGATTTAATTTTTATACAATGTTAAACAAATATGAAAGGAAGACCGTAACTCGTTTCTAAAGTGTGGGGGCGCTTTTTTTTGTCAGTAGCAGGACCCAAATTACAGGCTTCTGGATACACAGTCCGGCACGTAAACCGATAAGCCCTTAAAAGATATGCCAAAAGTGCCCCCTTTTTTTTGTATTTAAAGTTTCGTAAAAAATGTGTGATATGTCTCAGAAAACTTAAAATACCATTGTCTCATTTGAATTGGAAATCGTCTTTGGGGGAAAAAGAACAGGTTTTCAAGTGAACATCAAGGTGACCACAAAACGATAACTTATAGAAGAGATTTCCTTGATTGCGAATTTGCTTGGCTCAACGCTTATGTACAAAACAGTATAAGTAAAAGCTCTGGTTCTTGCCCCTAAAAGCCAACAAATTTATTACCCCGGTATAACTGGCATCATACATGTAAATAAAATAAATAAATAAACAAGTGGCAATCTTATATGTATATTGCGAACCGTGGTGTCTGGCCGAGCGTTCGTCTATTTCCCGTTTGAAAAGCTGCGCACGCAGACAAAGCTCAACATTCACTTTTGAAATGACGGGAGAACGTCATATACCAAATTTTATTTCGCAAGCACGATATTCTACACTAAATTGTTAGGAATTAATCACACTATCATTCACATTTCAAAATGTGACGTAACTTAAGAATAAAAATGCAGATTTACCGTATGTTATTGTTGAGCAGTTCTTAGCATGACTGAAATGCTCAACAATTACTTTTTACGGTGGGCGGTATAAGTAGCTCAGAGCTTTAGCCGCGAGTGAAACCAAGAGTACAACACAATTAACCTTTTTAAAGTCCATGAAATAATTTAAATTGGTATATTAACTTAAACTTTTTCCGTCACTGAGGACGGGTACTTTTGCTTGTTTCCTATAGTTTTTGTTTTTTAAAGAAATACGAAATCAACTATATGATGAAAGATTCAACTTTTGGGTATTAGGGTATTACAAATAATGTTGTTCTTGATATCTTTTGACACAATTTTTTTTTAAAATACGAGCCTTGACTTTCCTTTTGAATATGTAATATTATTATGTTATTTTTCATGGAATGTGACCTAGCACGTTTATATAAGTTATATGTCATACCTGTCTCACCAGAAACTGGTGAAAAAGGTATGAGCATAATTTAAAACAAACAAAAACGTTTTAAATTACCCCCCAAAGTTATTACTAATGGCTAGAAGTGACCTGTTACACACACAGTACTAAAAGTGTAATTTTATTTATTTTCTGCCGTAATTATGCTTATATGACATGTGTATTGCATTTGTTTATTTAATATATGTATAAAATTACACCCGAATCTCCAGAATTCATGCAAGAAGTTTTATTTTTTATAGATCGGAGCTAGAATCAACATATTCCAAAGGACTGGCGAGACTATCAGTTAAACTAGCCAAAGCTTCTCGTGAAGTTCGTGGGTAAGCATGTTACTGTGCCACGTTAAACAAAGTTACAAAGTTTAAGGATATCAAAAGTTTGCCTAGAAATAAGATGAACATTGCACTGACTAACGAAATTTCTCATTAGCATCTTAACATGGTACACTGGGCCTAATTTAACTTGGAAAATTTCACTATTTTGTAGTAAGTAGTGTGCTTTTTAATTTTTGATTTATTGAACACTGATTCCGATTATAACATTCTCAAACCGAGTTTAGGACCCTTACTCTCACTCAATTAGCATGATTTGGAAGGTTAATTAATTATTATTTTTTGCTTATATACTTGTAAACTTATTGTAAACGAATGCATGGATATAGACAGTTTTTATTTTATATTTACTGAAGATAGTTTTTGATTGTCATAAAGTTTAATTAAGGTTACTTAAAATGTACAGACTTGTTTTATAGGACGAGGTTGTCAACTGATGGCACTATGACTGAAAGTTTTATTTTTTAATATTGATATATCACATGCTTAAATATAGTGAAATAGGCTTTGATATAGATTTTATAAAACTGATTGCGCAGCTTTTATTTTACTTATCAAATTTGTAGATAAAAATAATTCAAGTAAAGTAATGTGTCATGAGAATCACCCTAATTCGGATGGTTTACTGTTACATTGCTTGCTAAAATGTAAATAGAAATTAAGTCAGGACAGAGTGACCAGTTCTTTAAGTGAAATCTCACTTTCTTTTTTAAAACTTGAGTCAAGACAGAATGACCTATTCTTTGAGTGAAGTCTAAACTTTATTATATTTTAGTACTGAGTTAAGCGGAGTGACCTGGTCTTAGGGTGAAGTCTAAACTTTGTTATATTTTAGTATTGAGTTAAGCGGAGTGACCTGGTCTTAGGGTGAAGCCTAAACTTTATTATATTTTAGTATTGAGTTAAGCGGAGTGACCTGGTCTTAGGGTGAAGTATAAACTTTATTTTCTAGAATTGAGTCGAGACGGAGTTACTTGGTCTTCAAATGAAGTTTAAACTTTGTTTTTAGACTTTAAAGTCTAAGAGATTGCTAATCTGCTTGACTGAGTTGCTACAAAAAGAAAAGAAAGAAACAGATAGAGAGAGGGCTACTAAAAATATCATTTTTTGGGCCTAACCAGAGCACAGATCTTTAAACAATACAAGTGTTATATTTGAGTGAACAATGTGAAAAAATGGTGATGTTTCAGTATTATTGTAAACAGTGTACGTACAGAATGTCAAATGAATCTATGATAACATTTAGCATTCATGTACATACTTTCTTCGACAAGTTATCAATATTCAATTCATGGAGTATCGAGCTCAAAAAATTAGATACACGCATTTATTTCGTCATTTATATTTTTCAGAACCGTTTCGGACACCTGGCAAGAAGTGGCCATGCTGATGGAGCAGGAATCTGAGCTACACAGGTATGCTACTGTGTTTGTAATGAAGCTGTCAGCTGATCACAATATAGGATTTGTTATCAAATATAAATAAGTATGTTTTGTCTTCCAACACACGATGTAGCTCGTGGATTACTAGGTTCATTCATCAAATACAGTTATCCGTCCACGAGGATTATAGTACATACATAGTAAATGTTGGATAATAGGAAAATATTTTACTACACTAAAAATAAATTTTGACTTGACTCTAGAGAAGAAAGCTTTCTAGCCAAAATATAGAGAATTAAAATATTTTGGATTGTTTGGTTGATTGTTTGATTTGAAGCAAAGCCACATTAAGTTATCTGCTATGTCCACCGCGGAGAATCGACCCCCGAATTTTAGCGATGCAAGTCTTTGGAATTAACACTGCCCCACCGGTGGACATATTTTTGGAAGAAATTAATCACCGTGTACAAACATAAAAAATAAAGCTAGTAGAATATTTAGAAGTGTTCCTATATGTATAAATTAAAATTAAAAACAATTTGAATAGGACGTAATGATGTTTACTTTGCCTTATCTTTAATGAGTATTTAATTCTTCACTTGTGTTTATGGTTTTCAGATAAATCTTATAAAGCGTGAAGTTTGTTTTCACTGGTATATATATAAAATTGTAGAGCCTAGTTGTAATCTTGTTCCATTCATTGAAAGACGAATGGATGATGTAAAGGTTTATCGAAATACCCAAGTTTCATTCCTTTTTTTTCTTTCCATGGTTTTCCATTTTAAGTCGTAAAATTTTAAGTAATATATGAAGGCTTTTTGTGTTTTTACTAAATTTATAAACGTGTTTTCATTATTTGAAAAAGAATACTCAACATCTGCCACACGAGCCAGCCCGGCATCTTGATGTGAATCAACAAAAATGAATCATTCTGGAAAGATTTGGGTTGTTTTGATTAGACAAAAAGAAAATTAGACCCAAGACCATGAGAGCCAACATGGCAAAGTTAACTTGTAAATGCAAAGTAAAACGATCTAGCAATGAAATATGCTACATAGGGTAGTGAATGTGTTGGTTTAAGTGTAGCGATTACGCTAAGTCGTGGGTCCAGGTCGGGTGAGGGAAGAATTTATAAGAAGATATCCCAATCGCTTTAACATACTAGCTGAATCGGAGATCCGTCAGTTAAATATTGCGTGTTTGTTTGTTTTGAATTTCGCGCAAAGCTACAGAGGGCTATCTGCGCTAGCCGTCCCTAATTTAGCAGTGTAAGACTAGTCATCACCACACACCGCCAACTCTTGGGTTACTCTTTTACCAACGAATAGTGGGATTGACCGTTATTATAATGCTTCCGTGGCTGAAAGGGCGAGCATGTTTGGTGTGACGGGGATTCGAACTCGCGATCCTCAGATTGCGAGTCGAGCGCCCTAACCACCTGACCATGCCGGGCCATTGATTATTGCATTGACAGCGAAACATAAAAAAATGGGCACAATAGTATCGTTGTCTTCAAAAAGGGAGATTGGAATCATATATAAGAAATCATTAGTTTCAATATTTTGTGAGACTAACGGCACAGTAAATCCTAAAGATGCATTGTTAAAGTTGAATGTACGACGCATTACATGATGTCCCTAGCGATTCTCAAATTAAAAATGCCATTTCTACAATGAAGAGTACATATAAGAAGGATGGTATAATGCCCAGTATGGTATCATCGCAGCATAATCCATATACATTTCATCATTTCATGTTTTCATTGATATTTACTTTATTTTCGTTTTAGAATCTGTGCCGAGCTTCATTCATTGACGTCTATACAGATAACCCTAAATCACCGGTTTTCGGAATGACTCCTCCCCCCCCCCTATTGATCATCCTAGGCTTATTACTAAAAGATGCTGGGCTGGCTCGTGTGGCAGGTGTTAATAATGACAAGAAATACGAGTTATTGCCGTAAACACTAAACAGATAGGGAGGGAAATACATGTAAGTTACAAGGTTGGTTTTGTTTTGAATTTCGCGCAAAGCTACACGAAGGCTATCTGCGCTAGCCGTCCCTAATTTAGCAATGACAGGAAGGCAGCTAGTCAACAACATATACCGCCAACTCGTGGGCTACTCTTTTACCAACGAATAGTGGGATTGACCGTTATTATAATTCTTCCGTGGCTGAAAGGGCGAGCATGTTCGGTGTGACGGGGATTCGAACTCGCGACTTGCAGATTACGAGTCGAGCGCCCTAACCACCAGGCCTTAGCTACAAGGCAAAGCACATTGTCAAGCCTGTGAAAACGTAGTAAATATTGTTGGGTCAGCGAGGTCACGTGACTAGTATCACGCCACGTATTTCCAGAAATATCCTGTTCCTTCAAGAATGCCCTAGCATTTACTAGATATATGTTAGTCTGGTATATATAAGATGGTCACAACGTGACGGGACAACAGTGTAATGAGTAATTGAATGTATGCGGACAAAATATTGTTTGCCTCGTGAGACGTGAAATTATAGTGTTGTTATAGAGCGACTGTTGAAATTAAGTGTATCGTAAAGTTATATTCAGAAAGAATAAACCAGTTTCATTTAAGAAAGGACTTGTGTCGCTAAAGTTTCGTCTGAACGAAGTTACGGAAAATTAATTAACGACTGGAGGCGTAACAATATGTAAATATATTTTTTTTTTTTTGCTGTTGTTATTGTTTGCAAGTTAACCCACCTTTACGACTGTAACGTTTTGTTGTTGCTGGAGTAATTTAGAAATTGGAAATAAGTGCGAGTTGATTCAAAATTATCAGTTGAATTGCTGAACTTTTTCAAGTGGCCGACATTGACAGAACAACAATAGTCTTTATTGACCATGTGCCAAGTCTAATGTTGGACGAGTCAATACCCCACCTCGACGAATTTTGATATTCATATATCTAGACTGGTAACTAGATAAATGGGTGGATAATAATGATAATACAACAAGTTCTCAAATAAATCATGTTTGCATCTGAGAATGTCCAGTTTATGTTTGAATGTGGTAATAATAAAGGTATTAAAACTCAACGGTGTGTGTGTGTCTGCGCTAGCCTTTCCTAAATATTTTAGAGCTTTTGCTATACAACAACTTCTTTTTCATATAAATTGGGTACAAAAACGAACATAATGAAACATAAAGTGTAAGCTTTTGATATTTTTTTAAGATGAATAAACACGAATCGTCGGTTAATTGAACAGAAAAAAGTTTTACATGAATACAGCCGCTCAGTTAAGTATGTGGCATTCAAACTATATGTTATTAGTAATTTGTGTGTCTTCACCATCACCCCTGGTGGATCAGGGGTAAGCATGAGAACTTATAACGCTAAAATTCGGAGATCCTTTCCCGATATGGGCACACCGAAAAAAGCTCATTGTGCAGCATTGCGCACAGAAACAAACAAGTGACCTGTATACCTCACGTTATTTGAATTTTAACTCGCTAATTTCTGGAGTTGATTGAAACAATGCTCCATAAAATACTAATGCCATTTAAGATCTGCAAATCGTTGGTTCCTTAAAAGTGGAATATCAGTGTCTAATTGTTTTGATTAGATCAGTTAAACGTATGGTTAATGTTATGGTAATTCATACCCCGTGATTTTGAAGATACGATGAAAGAGTAAGCCATATCTCTTGATAATCTAACCGAGTTTCGATAAAACTAGTTTTCCTAAAAAACGTATGTGATTAGGACAAGATAACGGCGCATAAACCAAATAAGGTATAAAGACACTGAACTTAGTGACTGTAATTTTTGTTTCTGGTAGAAATCCGATTGTTCATGTTGACACACTGTATGTGTATCCAAGTCGAAGCTACAAACTTGCCGCGACCAGTTTGATATGTGCTTGAAAAACTATATTACTCTTTTGTCTCGCTAACGATTGTTTTTTTTTTAACTTTATTACTGCACGTATCAATCTGTTTATGTATGGAAGATTATAATGTATAAATCTATTGAGAACTATAACAGATGATAAATAAATGTTTCGTCCTATATTATAAACTCTAGTTATGGGTGATTCCCAGCTATACAATACACGCACACATCAGGCCTGGGCAACAAAAAGACAGCAGTTAGAGTAATAGAATAAAGTATGAAAATAATAGAAGTTTGACTAAAAATTACATAAAATTCCTTTTGGGTATGAATTCTTTTATATGTGCACGAACACCTTTTAGAGCTTTTGTTTTAGAACAACTTGTTTTTCTTATAAATTCGGTACAAAAACGAACATAATGAAACGTAAACTGTAAGCTTTTGACATTTTTTAAAGATGAATAAATACGTGTCATTGGTTAATTGAACAGAAGAACGTTTTACGTGAATACAGCCACTCAATTAAGTATGTGGCATTCAAACGATATGTTATTAGTAATTTGTATGTCCTCACCACCACTCCTGATAGATCAGGGGTAAGCATGAGGACTTATAATGCTAAAATTCCGAGCACACTGAAGATACATCATTGTGCAGCATTGCGCACAGAAACAAACAAGTAATCTGTATACTTTGTAATTAATATTTTCCAAAACAAAAACGATTGAATTATTTTAGAAGCTGGTAGTTCTGCTGAGCTAAGACTGTAAGCTTAATGTGAGAATATAAAACAAAAATTACAAAATAAAGGAGAAAAACAATAGGTATTTTTTTATTAAACACCTCATTGTGCCATCTAATATGCTTAGACAAGAAGCACGATCTTTAAATGATTTAAAGTACGTATTAGAAACCCGTGTTTGGCTTGAACTTGAAGCGCGTACGTATAGAATGTGCCATTTAAAGTATATGTAGGTCTTTTAGTGTTATTAATAGAATTCATCTTTCAATAAACCAAATATATATCCAGGGGATAAATTTATATGAATTAATGTATAGGCATTACAAATGATTTGAAACCTGTATACACTGATGTGTAGCTCAAGAGATGGCGTTGTGCTTTCGACTATCTGCCTTCCTTATAGTCCATCAGTTCAAAATTAAGGATACTTCGCACAGTAC